AGAATGGGTGCAGCAATTAGGAATAAAGTGGAAATTTCACATACCATATAATCCTACTGGGGCAGGCATGATAAAGAGGTACAACAGTTTGTTGAAATCTGGCCTGAAATCAGACACCAATAGTGTACGGGGTTGGTGAGTTCACCTATGGACAGTGCTGCGGTGTTTGAATGAGAAGCCACGTAAAGGAGCTCTGAGCCCTGAGGATGTGCTCATGCACCTCGCTGCCTCTCCTATACAATTGTACGTCCAAACCGAAGAAGAGCTATTAAAGCCAGGATATGGACACTGTTGAACGGACCTGGCCCTGGACATTTCGACACATGGACCAGCGATGGCTGGTTCTTCTGGCACCTTGAGGAAAAGGCCCGGAAACTGGCCTCCTGTGTATGCCTGGAATAACAGCAAAGTGACCCCCCAAAACCATGGTTATTTGCTTCTACAGTCCTTGTGTCCTGGATGCGCCCCCTGCCTGCAGCTGCCTCATGGTGGCTGGAATGGATGAGCTTTGGACTTTGAATGCATGGGACTTTGAATCTAGCTGAATCCTCTGGCTTGAGAATTATCCTGATTGTGTTGCTGTTGTCAAGAAAAAAATGCTCAAAGACAGGCTTGACTTTGTCTAATGTTTGGTAAAAGTTTTGTGAGCAATCTAGCATTGTTGTTAGGAATGAGTAAACAAGTGTAGAAACATTTTGTGCTTAGTGAGAGATTGTGCTGTGAAGTACATTTACTTAATCTGCATAGGCTGAATCCTCTGGTTTGAGGATTATCAAGATTTTATTGCTGTTGCTATTGGATGTTATTAGATTGGTCGGAAGAGGGGGAATGAGTAAATTGTAAGGTTAGATTTCTGGAGGGGTGGCCTGTGGGTAAAATTGTAATTTATCCGAAATATCTCACCTGGCCTTAGTATATATGCATATCAACGGGAGCTCAAGGGTGGAGAGAAGTATGGCTCTAGTGGATTTGCATAATTCCTCAGGGGTGGAGAGAAGTTCATCTCCGTATCAATGGTTAATTACCTGGGCAGTGGGAGGGCTTATCTGTACCTGAGAGGTGAGGGAGGGCCGGTTTTGCCTCTGCTGGAGCAGGAGAGAGAGATGGGCGGGACTGCAGTTTGTAAGCGATAAACGGGTTTTAAACTTCATTTCTCTCTTTGACTGATTTTGGTTTTTAGAGGTACTTGGCCTCGGGATTTCCTTTCCCCGGATTTACACCAGTGTGACTATACTTGGGGATAGAACCGATGAGGAACTGACAAAGGTTAAATAAGGTCATATGGGTGGGACCCTAATCCAATAGAACTCATGCTCACATCAGAAGAGGAAGAAGACATCAGAACTAGCTCTGTCTGCTACGGAAGGACACAGCAAGAAGCTGCAAGCCTCAAAGAGAACTCTCACCAAAGCCCTATCGGCTGGCACCTTGATCTTGGACTTCCCAGTCCCCAGAACCGTGAGAAATAAATTTCTGCTGTTTAGCTACCCAGTCTGTGGTACTTTGTTGCGGCAGCCTGAGCACACAAATACAAGTACATATCTAAGAGTGGCGGGGCCTGGTCATAAAGTATGCTATATTCAGCTTTAACATATATTCCAAAACAGTTGCCAGCAGTGTATAAACGTTCTAATTGCTGCATATCTTCACCAACACTGAGTGCTTTCCCTCTTTTCTACTTTAGCCACTCTGTGGGTGTGAAAGGGTATTGCATTGTGGTTTTAGCAACATTTCTTGTATAACTATTGAAATTGAACATTTTTTCCACATCTGAACATCTGGATGGTCTCTTGTGAAGGAGAATATTTTGTCCACCTTTCTATTGGAGTGTCTTTTTAAATGATTTGTTTTAGATACCGAATGCTTTGTCAGATATATATATTGCAAATATTTCTCCTACTCTGAATACCTTTTTACTCTCTTAATAAACAGAAATGAACATAAATTCTTAATTTTGATATATTCCAATTTATCAACGTTGTAGAATTCATTTTCAACATGTCCTGAACATCTGCAATGACCTACATGCCTTTAAAACAAAAACAAGAAGACTAAATCCCTTCTATGAGCAGCATGATATATCCATGCACATGCTAAATGCTATACACAGTATCACTACAGTTTTTTTTTAAAGGGATTCCTTCTAAGGGATACACTATTTCTCCATGTTTTGGAAAAATAAGTTTTCATATATTTAATGCATTTAATTCTTAATTACTGGATACAATGTCTTTTTAAACATTGACTTACGCTTTTGAAGGCCAACTTCCAAGTCCCTTCATTTCATAACTGAAGAACTGGAATCAAAAAGAAAAACATCTGATTTAAGTTGTGAGTTTTTTGAGAAATAATCTTATTTCAGTTATGGAAGTGGCACTGTGTAATCTTCAAGTCACAAAGATTTAGAAGGCATGTTCACCAGCTTTAGGTTAGGGTAATATTTCATCCAAATACTCTGGAACACTTTGGTATGGTCCACCATCTATCTGCTCTCTTTGGAGGGATTTCCTACCTTAGAATAGAAAAGAGAGGAAGACAGCCAAAAACTCTTGCATTTGGGAAACGCTCATCCCAAGAAAGCATGTTCCAACAGAAATCCTTCAGTTTTAAGGACTTTTCCCAGCCTTCATGAGAGAATACAGTGAAATCTATTTAAATATTGTTCTTTTTTATCAGTGGTTTTTGCCTTATAGTCACAGAACCTAGAGTTTCTCAGACATATTTCAGAGGTTCCACAAATCTTTGATCTAAAATTCGTTTTTTCAAAATAGACTTTTATATTGCCAAGAGATACAATGCCAGGACTTAACACACTGCAAATTGCCCACACATTAATTTGAGGTTACGTTATTTCAATGTAGATCTCAGAATTAATCTCCTGCCATCTTTGTAATTGAAGCACATGCCCAAGATTTTTAATTGAATCATTTAAAAGTGAGTCTTGTTTGTATCATCTTTTTTGGAGGGATCAGGATTTTCTTGACAGTATATAATTAAAACAGAAGAATAAGAAATAAACTGTCCTGAGGCTGCTATAACTGCAACTGTTGTCTCCATAACTCACAACTTCAACAGTTTTTTTAGCATAGAACAGCAGGGTCAAGAGTCCAGTGGCACTGGGACCAGCCATGGCATCTTTACCAGACTAGTTCTTATTGGTCTTATCTATGTCTTTGCTGTCCACTCCTTTGGTTTCAAACCTACCATTTTCTGAGCTTGATTCCTGTTTATTATTTTAGCTACCCAATTTCCTATCAATAAAACACTTGTGTACTAAAACAAACAAAAAACCCCAAGGTAACAACAAACCAACTGCCTTGTTTCGTTCTTTATTTACCTATAAAATTAATGTTAAAAATTTGAACTTACAAAATGTTGTAAAACACAAGTTTTCACCTGTTTTCTATGTTGGGGTTCTGTGACAGATTTTGTTTGAAAAAAAGGGCTCTTTAAAATTGAATTTGAAAAATCTGTTACTTGAATCACCTCCCTGACTTGGGTCTTAGCCTCTCTCCAGCCACTTCTATGCAAATCTAACCACATCACGCTTCCAACTAAAATCTTTTTGAAAACTTTATCCAATAGGCAATCCTATCAGGTAAAGTTCAAGTTATTTGCGTGACTACATGGTCACTCGATTCAGCATGTGGTAGAGCAAGTGTTCAATCAATAATCGTTGAACAAATCTAAAATTGGAGAACGTTAAGAACTAGCTACACTATCTTACATCCCTTTTAATTTCAACAATAGTAGTAATTGTTATATGGTGTTTATGTTACCAGCTGAGATGCTTTTTTCTCCAGGATGTTATCTTGGAGGCGACGAAGAATGAAGCCAGCAGCCAAGAACAGAGGAACTAGCAAAGCTCTTTTAATGAATGAAAAAGTAGACCTCCTGCTACTGAAGAGTGGTTCCAAGGAAAGATGCCATTTGGGTTAAGGCGTCTGGGGTTTATATTGCCTCCTAAGAAGAGGAAGTCCCACCCTTCCCGGACCAAATAGAGACCTGTGATGACATCACAATCCACTCTTGATTGGTTGAAAGTATAATACTTCATTTGCATAGGCATAACCAATCAGAGCTGAAGTCTGTCTAAGTGTACTTTCAAATGACTGAGTTGGATTGGAGCTTTTTGAAACTTAAAAGGGTCTGAAGCTTCTTGAAACCTACAAGGGCCTTGTACTCCCTTTTTCCAGATACACCATCTATGTGTGGTTTCCCCAAACAAAATGGGTTTTAGAACAAGTGAGAGGAAATGTTTTTCTAGAAAGCAGGTGTATGTAAATTATTACCTCAAGGGGCTGCAAAATTTGGGAAAAAGTTTTCCTAAACTAATTGATCAAATGGATGACTGAGGGTTATGAAGATTTATAACTAAAAGACTCCTCCTCCTGAGGTATTCACCAGGCTCTTTAGGAGGGAGGTGGTGGGGCGCATCTGGGACCTACACAGAGGGTCGTGGGACTTAAAAAAAAAAAAAAAACTTTTATTTTGAAACATTTAGGACTTTAACCAGTTAGAGTTCAGTCCTAAACATAAAGGTGCTCACCTACTTTACCAAGCAATGCAAAAATGGGGACTCGCCTTTTAACTCAATTCCCTGAGGCACACTTTCTCAAGTGTTTGCTCAACACCAACTAAGGATTTCACTTGAACCTAGGGGCTTGGAAGAGATCGGGATTTGAGCTGTCACTCACTAAGGCGGTTATTTGGTGTAAGCCTTATTTTTCCTCACTGATTTTTCCTTAATCAACCCAAATTGATTAAGACCTCCGAATCCTCTTTCCCGCCCTCCGACTGCCTCGGGATTACTAACGGTCATCTGTGACTATTTAACTACCTCTTCAGCGTCGTGCCCCCCAGTCCCCGCGCCGGTCACTCCTCCCGCCCCTCAGCCCCACGCCCCTCCCTCCGCGGGACCTTCCTGCGCAAGCGCCGCTGCTCCCCGGGACCCCTGGCGCACTCGCGCGGCGCCGCTGGGCGTCCCCGCCGCTGGCCCCGGGGAGCGGGTGCGCGCTCGCGCTCCTGAGGCCCCGCCCTCAGCTGCGCGCGCCCCCACGGCGGCCGCGGGGCGGGGGACGCGGCCGAGGCCGGCCATGGAGGCCGTGCGGAGGGTCCATGAGGCCGCGCTCCGCCTGCTGCTGTTCCGGCCCTGGGCCTCGGGCGCCGCCTCCCGCCCGAAGCCCCGCGCCTCGGAGGTGCTGACGCTGCACCTGGTGCAGCGGCGCCTGCCGCACTGGACGTCCTTCTGTGTGCCCTACAGCGCTGTCCGCAACGACCAGTTCGGCCTCTCGCACTTCAACTGGCCCGTGCAGGGAGCCAACTACCACGTCTTGCGCACCGGCTGCTTCCCCTTCATCAAGTACCACTGCTCCAAGGCCCCCTGGCAGGACCTGGCCCGGCAGGACCGGTTCTTCACGGCGCTCAAGATCGTCAACCTGGGTGAGTGGCCCGGGTCGGTGAAGCACGTCCCGCCGGCGATGGATCACTGTTTGCAAAGCACGCTGACAAACGTTCTCGCTCAGAGGCCGAGACCCCGGGCTAAGGTCAGACCGCGTCAGCTCCAGGGGAGCCCTGCTTCGGCCTTGCTCTGGCTCGCCCGGGCGCAAGCTCTTGCCGGTGCTGCCTGGGTTCCCAGATTCTGTCCCCGCGTCCCACCCACACGGCAGCCCTACAGGACTGGCCTTCGCTCTGGTCTTTCTGTATTTTTCCCCACCCAGCAGGTGATTGTCAGGCTTGTTGCTTCAGAGCCGTTCCCGGAAAGTGGGGGTCATCTACAGGCCTGTCCTGAGGGACCACACTGTAGCACCCCTGGGGAGGGGGCACCCATCCTCCCTCCCTGCAGCTCTTAACTGGGAGGACCCCTACCCTGGGCGGTAAGGGGGGTGTAATGTAAGGAAACGTACGCACTGTAAGGTGGCTCTGAAGTTAAATGTCTTACCGCATCGCAGAATTCTTTGCCATGAACATCACTTTTTCGGTGCGTTCATATGAAAAAAACTGGAATTACTTTCTTTGATTTCTTTATGTGAAATCCCAGCAAGTTGGTTTTACTGAAAGCACCAAAGGTTTTCACCAGTCATACTTAGCTTCCTCAGGTGCTAGTCCCAAAAGATATTTAAAAGACTCCGCCTCTTTGGTATTTCTTTTTATGGGAATATTCTGATTCGGAGAGTATTTACTCTTGCTGAATATTCATTTTCTTTTGGTTAATGACAGAAGAGGCATAAGCATTGACATAAGCGTATCTTTTTTACAAGTCAGTGAAAAGTAGACCTCAAGAAGTTTTGAACCTATTAATAGTGTCTATCAAATTAATCCAGATGTCAGTATTTCAAAATCTGGATGTTGGATCTGGACCATGTTACCTAGTTTTTATAAACCAGAATTAAAGCTAAACCCCTGTGTAGCTGGGTTAGTATTGTGTAATCAAACAGCTCATTAAATTTAAATATGGTAAATGTATATTTGCTTACAATAATACATATGTCAGTCATGGGATTTTTGAGCCATTGCTCCACTGGGACTGTCCTGGGTTCAATCGCATACAGAGAAGATTATTTAACAATGTGTAATTATTTAAAAATATGTTTTATTTGGATGATGGACCATATAGAGTATGCCCACCAATTCTGAGATTGATTCGAAGTTGAAAGATGAGGTGATTTAACAAAATACAATTCAAAATTAATTTGGAAAGACTGGATTGATGACCAGATTCAAGAAGTTTATTTTGGCATCTTCAGAATCAGAATCATTCTTCCCAAATGTAAAGAGTCAGACGTTAGGAAAAGTGTAGCTGGAGGATTATAGATAAACCATGAGCTGAATGCTTTTTTTAAAAAAGTTTTCACCTTTTAAAACTTAACACTTTAAGAACACTTTAATGATTAAGTCCTTCTATTCTAAATACAGATACAAAGAAATTCAAAGAGAAATTGGATACCCAGAACATTTTCACACAGAAAAGTAAAACCTTTGAGGGAAGAAATGACAGCTGTAGCTTTTTTATACAAAAGAGAAAGGTGAAGAGTGATTTAATGGTTTTTTGGAATTTCTAAATATCCTGCTTAAATGGGAATAAGAGTTAAGTTAAAAAGGAAAACTTTCTGCTCAAGCATGCTTTAAATACAAATTGGCTTATACTGATAAAGTGAATTATTTTCTGGACTTTTTAAAGAGTTGTATATTCATCAATTTGGTAATGTTAATTTTGTATTTTTGTCTTAAGAGAGAGAATTATATAATAGGATTCTAATCTATTCTGTGATGTACAGTTGCCCTCTGGATCATTAAGTACATAATGTGTTAATAAAAATACTTGGGGTTTTATTCCTCTTCTTCCCTTCCAAATTAGTAATTATCAGAGTAATTAATTTTTTTTCATTTTGTAAATAATAAAGATTGGTCTTTTACCCATTTGTTCCCTTTCTCCTCCGCCTTCCCCCCTCAATGCAAGCTGACATTTTATTGATGGTTTATCAGTCCGGTATCCTGCTGAGAAGTAGATTGAGATTTAAGAAAAGCAACTTACCATTGGAATGAATGGGTAATCGGAGACTTGCTACGAAGTTCTAATTTTTTTTAAGTGCTTAATTTGACAATGGTTTACCTACTGTTCAGCTGACTCAAAATGAATTTTTATGCAAAGAACTGACTTTTTGTTCATTTTGATGTTATGATATATTTCACTCTGGAAAAAGTGCAATTTGTCATGGAATATTATAGACTTTAAAGCATATGTGCTGTAAAGAAAATTATGGTTTTTTATATGATAATTATGTGAATTGCAAATCTTCCCATTTAGTGTATTAGCCTGACTATATTAGACAGCAGATAAAAAAGAAATCTAGGATTTCTGACTTGTCTATCACAACTCCATCCCCTGTCAAACAACATTATTAATAATGGTTCGTAGTTGTTTCTTAGTAAGAGATAATGTAGTTATTGTTAAGTGAGTGATCTTTGATCGGTCCTCCATTTTAGCTGAAAAAATATTGACCATTATTTGTGTAATTTTTTTTAAGGTATCAATATTTTAACTGAAAACTGATCAACGTTATACAACAAAATTTTCGGTGTCACCAGCCATTCCTTAAATCTATATCCTTAGCAGTGATTTTTAAAAAGGCTTACTTTATATATTTTACTCTCAGTATATTTAGACAGTATATTCTAGAAACAACACTTTCCAAAAGACCATTAAATCACTCTTCAGCTTTCTCTTTCGTATAAAAAAACTACGGCTGTCATTTCTTTGCACAAAGGTCTTACTTTTCTTTGTGAGAATGTTCTGGGTGTCCTGCTTCTCTTTGGATTTCTTTATATCTGTATTTAGAAGAGAAGGACTTAATCATGAAGGTGTTCTTAAAGTGTTAGGTTTTAAATGGTGAAAACGTTTTTAAAAAAGCATTTAAAAAATTTTCTAGAACCAGTTTTTATTTCCTCACTCCATTGATTTTCAGCTTTTGAAGTTGTTGGTCCTGTATTTTAACTTTATTTTCTATTTGAGCTGCTCCCTCTCTTTATTACTTCTGCTTGTCTTATTTTTCCTGTCTACTTTCCCGTCCATGCCCCACTTGCCTTTTTTTTTGGTAAAATGATTTATAGATAGCTTTATGATGCTAGTTTTTGTGGATTTTTTGTGACATTCCCTTGAGGCATTTAGATTATTTTGGGTATTACGAAGGCAAAGAAAGCAATATACTGTAAAAGATTTCATAGGAGTTCCAGGGAACCCTGTGATAGTGACAGTCTGTGACCCAGTAGATTCCTAAAAATAGAGACGTGCCAGCCCGAATGGGCATTTTGTCTCTGCTCACTGCCAGCTAGTGATGCTTCTCTTGATTAATCTTTGGCATCACAGTGGTTGGAATGCAGCTTCAGGGAGTAAGCACAAGTAGCCCAGTGTACTTGTACACTACTGAAGAGCATAACACAGCAAGTATACTCTTGCAGAAAAATAAGAAAAAATTTAGTACTTTCAGTACTGTGCATGTGATTTCCCTATTAACTAGAAACGAAGTGATTTTTCTGAGCGTACAGCCCTTCTTTAAAATCGTCATGTTCTGTCCAACTCCTACATGGGAGCAAAAAAATGTAATACTTGTGTAGAGCTTAAAATATTTGCTATTGGTTCATTTACCTGTGGGTTTTTTTTCTTTTTTTTTTTCTTTTGGTATCATTAATCTACAATTACATGAGAAACATTATGTTTACTTACCTGTGGTTTTATACATAAGTTTTCAATATGTTCATAGTCATTGATTTTAAATAAGTGCCTTAAAACAGATAGGATCTGTGAAAGTTTGTTTTGTGTCCAGTATAGTGTCCTATGCATATGATGCTTAATCCATATCTCTGGTAGTATGTTTAGTTTCATGTATCACAAATGGCAGCTAATGTCTAATATAACAGCAAAATCTTATCAAATGGAGATTTCCAAAGGAATAACATGTTGGAGTTTACTATATACCTATTTCAAATAGGTTCAAACAAGATTGACTTCAAATCAGTTGTAAAAATACTAAAGGGAGTGTTTCTTTCTCATGCCTGTTATTATTTTAAAATCTTCTTTATCATTTGTTTTTTGCCCTAGGTTTTAAAGACAGCTGTTTGACCCAGTTTCTTTTAAGATCTACAAAAAATTATTTTAATTATCAGTGTTGTGACTAACTTGAAGTACAATAAAGTTGACCTAATAATTTAAGTTCAAGGCCAATAATCAGGATCATCTATAACTAAATTAATGAATATTCTGTTTCTTATTTGTAAAATGAATAAAAATTATTTCATAATTACTTGAAGGTAATGAATTAGTGCCTGTAAAGTGCTTTGAATTAAACTTTTAACCAGCCTTATCTATGGTTTTAAAAATCCAGATTCATTCCGTTGTTACCATGTTCCACAAACATAGATGAAATTGAGCTCTTAGATTATCAGAACCAGTGTTTACTCATATTTTTATATTTTTTATAACTTTATAAATATTTGACATTGCTGAAGAGTGTACCATGACAAATATATGGATGCAAGATTAATAATTATTGATATTCATAAATAACTTATTTGTTTTCTAGGCATTCCAACTTTATTATATGGACTTGGCTCCTGGTTATTTGCTAGAGTCACAGAGACTGTGCATACCAGTTATGGACCAATAACAGTTTATTTTCTAAATAAAGAAGATGAAGGTGCCCTGTATTGAAAGTATGCATTGGAGACATAAATATCAGTGGATTTTCTCTTGTGTGTATGTGCAATATTTATATCTGATCCTTTAAAATAAAACTTTTGCAAACACCTTTTTCTTTTTATGGTGTCTGGTTCTTTAAGATGAATCATTGCCCTCGGGAGGCAAAGCTTTTCATATATGGTTATAGATTGTATACTCTGTTTAGCCAATGGGAACTACAAATACATGAAGCTTATACCAGTTTTTTTCTTAGAACTAGGTTAAACTACAGATAAAAAATAATTGTACCATATATAGATTCTACAGTTAGGTATTTACAATTTAAATCGACTGACAAAGAAATGTAGACACCCACACAAAGAAGGAAGGGGAAAAATCTTTATAACATTGGAAAAAGTAGTAGAGGATTTTACGATAAATGGCAGAGATAATATAATATCACTGGCAAATCCAAAAGTGGAAATTCTAATTGCAATCTGAAATTTAAACCATTTAGCTGCTAGGATTTTAAGTGGAAATGTTTTAAAAGTTCTTGTGCCATTTACCTGGCTGAGCAGTCTGGGGGTAGTGTTGAAACTCCTTACTGCCTAGAATATCCAATGGCATATCACCTTTTTTTTAATGTAATAATAACTCTGGTTAATGTAAATGTAACAAGATGAATGAAATTAAGACTTATTAAAAGTTAAGAAGGCATGATGATAAACAATCATGATCTAGAAAGACCCAGAAAAATTAATTTGGTAACTGTTTATAAAAGCAATTAGCTGAAATGGTATATATCCATAGACTTATTGGCAGTGGGAAGTGGACTGAAATTTAAAGACCTGAAGGCAATTTTGTGTTAGAATTTTATTAAGTTAATTGCATTTTTGAAAGCAAAGTCATTAAAAAAATTTATCCTTGGGGGTAGTTAAAAAATACCCAAATGAATGGTAAATTTCAGAAATTTAGAGTAATTTAGGGAGAACTAAGTAGAACTACTTAATTTCTAAACCAATGGGTGTTTAAGATTTATGATCTCTCCCATAATTACAAACATACATTATGTATCATTTTATGTTAATGTGTTGCTGATACTCTGCAGCATTTACACATTTTTGTAGCAAAACATTTTATAAAATTCAATCTAACCAACATTTGGATGCTAACTTCTGGCAACTCAGTAGAGAAAGTGAGTGGAAGCAACTGAGATGAAAGCACTAGAAAATGAAGTAATACAAACTGGCTTTGTGAAAGGTAGTCATTTTAAATGTGCTACAGAGAGTGAACTGTTCTTCAAATATATGTAGTGTTCACTTGTCTAAAAGCAATTCTAAATAACACTTTAATCAAAGAAGTACTTATGCCAATACATTTGGTCCACAAGAATACACTTGACACTAGTTAAATGAATGGCTTACACTAAGGAGATAGTGTTACATTAAGCTTCATTAATAATAAAACTGACTATTAGCATTTTGCAAGGAAAGCTAGAACTGATTTCCTCTGTAATGGGCAAAGTTAAATAACTATAGCTCATAAGTTTTAAGTCAAATACTGCTCATTCATTGCTGCTGGTCTTGTCAATACTTGCTGTAAAGGTTTGGTCCCATCACAAGGCTGATAAAATGGTTTTTAATTACCAGACTATAAACACAGCTTTTCAGTAGAGTTGCACTTCTTTTCATACTGGCCTGTTTGATTTCTGATAATTTGTGCTGCTGACTCTGCTTACCTGTTTTTCAACAGCTACAATCAGTGTGACTTCTTGTCCATATGGTGATAGGTAAGTCTCCTTGGAGAAGATCTTTGACAAACTACCCTATTGATTTCTGTAATTCTCTGCTGCTTGCAGCATTAAATAGAGCCTCGATTTCTCGTCTGATGTGCTCACTGTGTAACAATTAAGCAAATGTAATATTTTCTTGTATTACATGAAAATCAATAGACCTCTTGCTCTCATAGAGTTGATCATGATGAAGGATGAACTCAACAATGGCTAAGGGCATGGTTCAAATATTAAAATACAATTCATTGGATTTATTAAGTCTGGTAGTGAACCTTTTAGTCTGAAAAATGGTCCCCATTGAACACTAATGGTTTAAGTTTTTTTCTTTAAAGTTGGATATTACATCAAAGCACTGTGGCCTAAAAGGCATAAAGTATAAATGTTGGAAGTCAGGAAATTGATTCTATTTTTAGTATCAGTGCCGTCTTACTTTTTGACCTCAGGCTAATAACTACCCCTTTGTGTCTTAGTTTTTTCCACCTGTAAGCTGAGACCAACAAAACAAAAAACCTTTCTACCTAATAGGATCATGAATATGCTTGCAAGCAAATGTCAGTTTTATATCAGTAAAAGCTACTTTGTAACCGTTCTTCTGTTCCATGGATTTCATTAATAAAAGGATTTTTAAAAATTAAGTGAGAAGAAAGGAGGAGACACTGAAGGCATTTTGTGTGATTGTGTCTCATGCCGATCATGCCTGAGGTGGCAAGCAGGGTTCTGTGTGGACCCTGCCCTTGTAGAGATGAGTTTTCTTGGTTGCTAACAATCAAAGACAGCTTTTCTATCAATACATCTTTAATGGGATTTTGTCTTTAAAATAGTCCAGGCAAAACTATTCTTTAGTGAAGATATGTTTTTATAAAGTTTTGCATCTCTTCTATTGTTACTTCTATACAAATCAATTATCAAGTATTGGAAGAAATTTCCAGTTGAAGTTCTTAGTTCCTGTGAACCACCATAAAGATGTAGAGAGCTGGGAGCATGAAAGAGGTTGCTCATACAAAAATCCCTGGTTTCTCAGTGCTAATGCCTTAACAAACGGTACAAGTAGTCATCAATTCTTTCATCACATTTCATTAATATTTTGCAAATTGTTGACTTCAGTAAAAATTGAAACATTTTTAACAAAAGCCATATGTATGTTTTAAATGTACATTTTATTTCATGTCATTTATATTCACCTAAAACAGTAAGCCCAGAACATCTATAATTCTTCATCAAATATCTGTTACCTCTTTTAAAGAATGAATGATGTTTAAATGAGTGGGTTGACATAAACACAAGGATCTTGGTTTCATTTCATTTAAAAGCTAATGCAGATAACAGAAACCTTACCCTAAAGCTAGTGGATCAGGTGTCTACTTTTTTTCAGCACTTACCATTCAGACAGAAATGACATTTGGGGGCATCTTAACCTAAACAAGTACTTAGCATTACATCTCACCTGGGTCAACAGTCTAGGGTATCAGAGTTAAACTGTGTTACTGTAAATTAATGGAAAATGTAACTGCACTTTGCTGAAAGATCAATGTCCAATAAAGGCTGCACAATCAAATCTCGTTGCAATGATTGAGGTCTTTAATTGCCTTTCAAAGATAAGGTGGTAATCAACACAGCTTTAACTGATCTTTTTTACTAGTTCAATTACATGCTAATGACTAGTGCCAAGTCAGAATCTTTAACTACTTATACTTATTAAATCTTACGTTAGTAATGAAAAATTACTTTGGCTGCACAATCGATAGAACACAAATCTTAATTACTGTATTTCACTTTTATACCATTATATGTGCTTGACAAATGTTTCACAAGAGCTTTCCCAACAATAAGACGTGTTGTTAGTGGTGACCACAGTCCAGAGTTTTAATATAAACGAAATCAGATGTTGAGAAAATTTTTTTTCTTCAAGTGGAAATGTGGTTAAAATCGTTTCCACTGACACAGCATGGTCATCCAGTTGCTTCTAGAACTCTTGTTATATTTATTGTGAGCACATTAACACAACTGGGATAAAATAGATCTAGATTATTTTTAGTGTGTTTCTGAAAGTTCAGTTACCTTTCTAGTAAAGAGATGATGATTTCCTATAAAACCTATAAAATTCACCTATTTTGGGAAAGGATGAAAGTAAAGGCAAACAAGGAAAAATACAGATAAATTGGACTTCATCAAAATCAAAAGTTTTTGTGTTTCAAAGGACATTATCAAGGAAATGAAAACTGACAGAATGGAAAAAATTATTTGTAAACATACATCTGATAAGAGACTTGCAGCTAGAATATATAAAGAATCCTTGTAACTCAACAACAATTGAAATTGCAAATTTAAACATTTCTCCACAGAAGTCATACAAATGGCTACTAGGCACATAAAAAGATGTTCAACAGTAACTGTTAGGGAAATGCAAATCAAAACCATGAGGTACTACGTCATACACACTAGGATGGCTATCATCACAAAGAGAGAATGTAAGTCGTCAAGGATATAGAGAAATTGGAACCCTCATATATGACTAATGGGAATGTAAAATGGTACGGCCATTTTGGAAAAGTTTAGCAGTTCCTCAAAATATTAAACATGTAGTTACCATATGATCCAGCAATTCTATTCTAGGTATACACTCTAGAGAACTGAAAACATTCACACCAAAACACACAAATGTTCATAACAGCATTATTCATTCTAGCCAAAAAGTGGGAACAACTCAATATCCATCAGTTGGTGAATGGGTAAATAAAATGTGGCATATTCACAATTATGAATTATTTGGCCAAAAAAGGGGAGTGAAGTACTAGTAGATACATGCAACATGAACCTTGAAAACATGCTAAGTGAAAGAAACCAGTCATAAAAGACCATGTATTTTTCAATGTATATGAAGTGTCCAGAATGAGCAAATCTATAGACAAAGTAGATTAGTGATTGCCTAGGGCTGCTGAGGTGGGGAGGAAATGGGGAGGAACGGCTAATGGGCATGGGTTCCTTTTTGGGGTGATGAAACTTCTAAAATTGTAGTGAAGGTTGTACAATCCTGTGACTACTGAAACCACTGAACTGTACACTTTAAGTGGAAGAACTATGGCATGTGCATTTTCTCTAAATTGTTAAAAGATTAGTAAAAGGGGCAGCGGAAATCAATTCATGTTTAATGGCTGTAGAGTTTCAGATTTGCAAGATGAAAAGAGTTCTGGAGGTAGATGGTATTGGTGGTTGCACAGAAATGTGAGTGTACTTAATACCAGTAAACTGTACACCAAA